ATTTACTATTTATTTTTATTTTTTTTTAACGCCGAGCTTATCTTCGTTGTAATCAATGTTGCATGGCTTGTTGTTGCATATGTTTGTACAAAAATAATAATGCTCATGGCGAGTAAACGCGATGACGTGCCGATTCATGAGCATAAAGCACGAGCACGTAATGTAAGTGACGCCACTGCGACGCCAAATGGCAAAACAGCGAAGCCAAATGTGTGACCAGTGGCGATGTAAAGCATTTGTTGCAGGCAATCAACAGTAAAAAGATAAAAATAAAAAATAAATTTAATTAAAGACCAGCGTCAGCGCTTCATAGCAACAACTTAAGGTAAAGCTCAGAAAGGAAAATAAATAAAAATAAATAAAATAAAATAGATAAAACTCCGCAAGTAATGGCAACATTTTGTGGCAATTTGCGCTTTGTTGCAATGCGCTTGCTGTCCGCTATTTAATTAATTAGCATAAATTACGCTACAAATTATGCACATTTGTGCTGCCATTGTTGTTGTTGCTGGTGTTTGCCACATTAAATAACAAAATTAATAAATTCACACCATTTAAATCAAATGACGTTGTTGGCAGCGCAAGCGAGCGAAACGGCAGTCAGACAACCGGACAGGCGGACAGCCGGACAACTGGACAACCGAATTGCACTTGAACAACCAAATCGCTGCTTTTGTGGCACATAATTTGTTGCATGTTGCAGTAATTGTGAGCAGCTAATGACTGCACTCTCCACCTCGATATCCAACCATGCTCAACTATTGAGTGTGCGCTTGTGCTTGGTGTCGTGAATTACCGTCAGTTTCGGTTTGTTGCATACGCTTACTGCCTTCCCAACGGCACTTATGCAATGTTGCATAAACAAAAAGTTGTATTTATGCGCTTTACAAGTGTTGCCCAGTACGAGTATTAGATAGATACTGAATTGAGTGTGTATGCATATGTGTATGTGTGCGTACTGTAAGCTTTGATTTGTGCTGTAATTAACAGTAAGTGGGAAGCGAGCACTTTTCGAGTTCATTAATATGGCGGACAACTTAATTTAATGGTCAATTTACGGTCAGTAGTGGCTGTGGCATCGACGGCGGTAGTGGCAGCATGTTGTGAGTGTAGCGAGCACAGCGTGTGGTGAATTTAACAGATTGTAACATAGCGCGAAGAAGAAAATAAAAGAGGAGACGATTGAGCTAAAATATGTTAACAGTAAAAATGGAGAAGAAGAGGAAGAAGCTGTAGAGTTAATGGCATGATAAGCTGCATTAAATTGCATTTGAAGTAATCAAAGTGTTAGTAGTCTCAAGTGCTGCTAAGGTTAAATAGATTTTTCTCAAAATTGAGCGCTTAGTCAATTAGCTAATTATTACAGTCAGTGGGAAATCAATTAACTAAATTAAGTGGCTATCTGAAATGCGCATTAAACAGTACTAAAGTTGATAACTGTTCTTCTTCTTCTCCTTAATTGGTGTAGAGCCCACTTCCGCAACTCTGCATCCAAGTCAACAATAGCAGTACAGTCGTTTCTTTTCTCTTAGCCCACTACCAATTGGAGACACCATGTAAGGATACATCGTTCTCCAACTAATATTAAAGCTTCTCCTTTTCCTCTGCTCCCCCCAATAGGTACTGTTGTCTGCTACCACGTTTCTGCGCTATGAACTAAGATGGCTCGTCGCGAGAGGAATCTACTAATCGATTAAGCGGTAATATCACAAAAGCGACTCTTCGTTGGTTTTCAAGTATGGTATTGCTACTGATCTCGAAGCTTGCTCGTAGATACCCGAATTCAAAGCCGGGGTGTCATGGATGCCGCGACGCAAGTGACAAATAATTTTTCGGCTGCTTCACGTTCACTCTGTCACACAAATTCACTTTGTACCCTAGTCCAGCCTGATGAAAGCAGAAATAAGTCTAGAATTAGGTGGAAGTAATCTTACTATAGTAACAGCTGTTGTTGTAATTGTGGTGATATGCCAACCTCATTTAGCGCTAGATCAGTCTAAGCCATCGAAGCCATCTAACGGAAGGTCCAGGAGACGAGATTTTTCTACGAATGCGAACCAGGGGGTAAAGGGGGTTAGCTAAGTCCAGCTTTAGATATATTGGGGTCAAGTCTGGAGTTGAATCTACTACAATATCCAGATCTAAGTTGTGACAGTATTACGTGGGACTCTCGAGGCAGATATCAGAAGTTTCCAGTCAGAGTACCGAACTTGGTGTTTTAGCAGGCTTGTAGCTTCTATTGTCAGCAGAACTGAAGCCTCCTTTGATATTCAACGACTATGAGAGATCTTTCCGGGGTAGAGAGTAGCTTTAAAACGACGAAAAGGTCAAAGTCTATGTCTACCTAAGTCTACTAGGACTGAACTTACGCAGACAAGGTTCTATCGGTGGCCTGTAATTCTAATCGATTATGATTTTCTTGTTTGGCATAGAGTTTTGACATCTAATTTTTATAGATGGAGCAGAGCAAATTCAGGTTCCAAGTGTAAGTTAAGCTTTCGTCCGACTTCTTGACCTCTTCGTCGCCATAATTGAGCATGTCAGCCGGTAATGCTTCAACTATTGTACATACTCACTATGCACAAAACGTCAGCTAGTGGGTGATCTGGCACTTATATAAAAAACTCCGAGTTATTGAAAAGCGGACACAAAATATAGTCTCTTTGCTAAAAGTTTCTTAAATTTCGAAGAGAAAAAAAATGTACAAATTAATTTTCCTCTGTCACATATTTTCCTGACGCCTTAAAAAAAATATTACTTTCTATCTAATGCATTCCCAGAGGCACTTCTTCTCAATAGCAGTTTTCTCACAGCTCCCATGAGTGGAGAATAGCAATGACTTTCCACAGACACACACGAACCCGCTCGCCTTGATACTCCCTCTCTCTTTACCTTTCACCAGCATCCAATGCAGTTATTTGGCAGCCATAAAAATGTCTTTTGTCACCTCAATAATGTTCACCTTCAATTCGTGTTTACATCGACGCAATAAAAATCAAACGAAGAATGAGTTAATCACATCGCAGTGGAGGACCACCCGTGTAGGTGGTGGACGGAAATATAGCTAGCGGCACATACATAAATACTTTTCTGCTACACATGCACATACATATGTACGGGATATTTCTTCTTCTTCTTTCTCTATTCCACTTCCGAATGCAGCAATTCTTTATTACAGTGTGAAGCAAGACAACAATGGGAAACAAAGTCATAGCATATTTTACGAAGTGTGTGCGTCTAATGAAAAAATGTGTCATCAATTTGTTGAGATTTTCTCTTGTAATTTATTTTTGTTTTAGTTTGTGCTTTAGCTTATCAAATATGCCACACACTTTGAACACGCTTCGAAAAAAGAAACGCTAGAGATGGTGACAATAATCTCATGTACAACTTTAATCGATTACTTATAGTCAAAAAAGCGGTTGGGTCTAAGGCTGTGTACACACTACACAACTTTTTCTCGGCGAATAGTAAACAAAGTAAAGATTTGAAGTTAAGCGCTGTTGGAATGCGTAACAGCCGAAGAGTGATGTCCGCAGCAAAAGAGGAATGACGAATTGTAAAATTGTGCTTTAGCATTTTTATTTCAGATTCGTTTTTAGTACCCGAGACACCTTAATTAAAGTCAAGCTTCACAATCACGCGTCATAACGACAATTTTAGCGCTCCATTTTGGTTTTTGCGAGCAGTCACGTTTGCTGTGCAACATTTGATTAAGCTAAAAAATGCACGATAAACAACAAATAAATTTCTCTCACAAAAAAAAAGCAACAACAACATTTAATTACGCTAAAAAACTTAGGTAAAAAAAGTTACAAATCATTTTCCATTACAAAACTCATTGTTTATGCTCTTAGCGTTGCCACATAGTGCAAAATATATTGCAAACAATATCGTAATTTAATTCAATTGCTGCACCAAATTCTACGCGCCCACCGCACGCCGACTCGCTGAACGCCCAATAACGCCATAAATATGTCATTGAGTTTTCAAAGTAATTTTCATAGGATTAACCGCAATTTATGCAACAGATTTACGCGCACACACACACACCGCCGCTAACAACGGCAACTAATAATAGTCGCAGCTAACTTGCCGCCTCGCTTTTTTGTTGCGCTGAAAAATGTGGCAATCAGGCTGCGGCGTCCAAATATGGCACACAATGGTCTCATAATTTCCGCTGCAACTTGCCACATGCCAGCAACAAACTACAATTTTCGACTTGCCGCGGAAAATTAATGCGCACACCAACTCCACTCGTTTGGTATGCGCCGCAGCACCGCCGCCTGCGTCGCTATTACCAATTTCATTTGCGGATTTCAATTTAAATTTTTCTTTGGCCAATCAATGTGATTCGATTTGGTGCAGTGCGCCATGGTTTTTGGTGACGTTCCGTTGCTTGTGCAGATGTACAAGTATGCACCCTCTGTCTGTTTTGTTGTTGTTGTGGTCGGCATCCTTTTTCGGAAAAGTGCAATTTAATTTGCATTGCTTGGCCTCGCAGAGGCAGTGCAGTGCGCCTCACTTTTAGTGTTTGGTGTTGGTGTTGCTATGCAAAATATACATACATATTTCCACTGCACTCAGTTGTTGTTGCCGCAAGCCGTTGCTATTATTATTGTTGTTTTTTATGCACACTTTCCACTTACATCCACTTAATTTTGTGCATAGTTTCAGTGCGATTGCGATCGCATTTCAGAAATTGTAGCAGTCTGTTGCTGTTGTTGTTGTTGTTGTTATTGTCTGGGTTGTGAAAGTGTGCAAGAGCCGCATTTAATGTCCGGTCTACTTGTTGCGTATTCAAATTCTTCGTCAATGATCATCACCTCTCCCCCAATCACCTCTCTCACCAAATGATTTTAGATGAAGTGGTTGGTGAGTTGGGGAAATGCGGTGAAACCAGCTAGTGGTTGTAGCAAATAACAGTAAATTTTCATAAATATCAAATGCCACAAATTTTAATTGAAATTTCACTCAAAGACTTTATTTTTCTTTTGCAGACTTCATCGAATGGCTGTTAGGCTTGCATAGATGGTGAGTAAAGAGCACGAAATTAATTGACCTATATATTATGTATGTGTGTATGTATATAAGAGTACATGGCATTCCAGTGAAATGTAGTGAAAAGCATGTAGACTTGTAAAAAAATAATCTTTAAAGATTTAGTGACGCAGGAAACCTATAGACACTAAAACCGCCTCTTTCAGTTTATCAAACCCGCTGAGAAAAAAAAAAACAATTTTATTTTTTTATGTGAACTCTTTTTATTTTTATTTATTAAGTTAAACTATTTTTTTATAGTAATTTACTAATAGACCCAGCCGCATGTTGCTGTGCCCCTCTCATGCCAACCCTTGTCCTTATTGGCTACTCTTGAGGTCAATTCTTCACCAGCCAAACCATTTGCCAAATACAGAAACAGTTGGTATATAATAACCTCCCAACCAAGCTCTGGGAGCTTCTGGCGTGACACTATAGGTGTGTGTGTGGTCTGGCATTGTCCTCATAAAAACACAATTCCTCTTCTGTTGATGGAAGTTGGGTGTTTCTTAACTTTTGCTTCTTTCTAACGGTCCAATTGCTGACAATAAGAGAGCAGCTCATGCCGTAAAATTTCTTACCAATCCCATCAAATATACAACAAAACCTTTCTGGCCGTCAATGCTGGTTTTAGTAGCGTTTGTGCCGACTAACTGCTCTTCTGTAAGTCACCTAATCACCATCCGCTTCAGAAATGCATCGGTTTTGCTACGATTCGTAGCGCAGCGATTCGCAGATGGAAATTTGGTCCATGGTCAAGCTTCTTTATGTAATCCAGTCTTTTTCAAATGGCTCCAACCTGTTTTTTGTGCAATATTTAGGCTCTAGGCAATCGACGCTGTGTTCGAATGATTGTCAGACTCGACGGATGCCATTATCTGATCGACATTTCCACAATTGGCATTCCATACTGTGGAGTATCTTTTCAGCAAAAATATCGTTAGGAAATCGACCAAAATTGTGCATGATCGGCTGTTACAGTATTAGGACTGTAAACCGTCTTCACGCTTCCAACTGCTGGACTTCCTTTCTCGCTCTAATCAAAGAAAAATTTTTAGAATCTAACGTATTTCCTTTATGAGCTTTTAGTACAAAATATTGTCTTTCTAACGCCGTCTTGTGTAATCCAATCGCACTTATAGAATGCGCGTTACAGGTCAATAAAGCCAGCTTTTGCAAATACAATGTATGACCCTTTACTCGACCTAATATATAAAATAAAAATTTGAGTAACTCACCTTAATCAAATTTTTTTCTTTTTAATTCTTTAATTTTTATTTACTTCACTACACTAACCTTCCTTCAAGGGAAGGAGTCGCAAATGTCCCTCTATTAAGAAGCTAACGAAAGGTTGCTTCGAATTTATTTATGTGATTTTTTTTTGCATGGCAGCAAACCGATTTTCTTGTATTGGATGAGTGCATAAGTTCATGCCCGATTTCAAGTGCAAACCAAAGTTGAAATTTTTTGAAGAAAGCGCTTTTATTAATCAATTATGTATTCGCCATCATGTTCGGAAATCCACTCCCAACGTTCAACCAATTTACGGATGCCTGATTCATAGAAATCGCGCGGTTTCTCGTTGAAAAAGGTGTCAAGGTGGTTTTTGACGTCTTCCACATTTTTAAATTTTTTACATTCAAATTGTTCTGCAGCAATCGAAACAAATAATAATCAGAAGGTGCAATGTCGGTTGAATATGAGGGATGCGTCATGATTTCCCAATTCATCTCCTTCAGTTTGACCATGGTCGGTTTTGCAACATCTGGCCTGGCGTTGTCATGATGGAAAATAACTCCTTTGCGATTGGCCAAAATCGGACGTTTTTCATCAATTGCTTTCTTCAATTCGACCAATTGCTGTCAATACTTGTTGGCAGTGATCGTTTCTCCACCTGACAAGAGCTCAAAATAGATCACGCATCGGATATCCCACCAAATGCACAGCAGTACCTTCATTGGATGCAATCCACCTTTTGAAATCGGTTTTGCCCCTTCGTGTGCCTGTTTCCATGTTCTTTTGCGTTGAACATTGTTGTACAGGATCCATTTTTCATCACCAGTCACGAGCCGATCCAAAAAAGGTTCGTTTTTGATCCGTCGAAGCAAAGAAATTGCTGCTGACATACGGTCCACTTTGTTTTTTTTCACTCAACTGATATGGCAGCCATGTATCGAGCTTCAAAGTGTACCCAACATTTTTTAAACGACGAAACGCAGTTGATTTGTTGACGTTCAATTAACTGGCAACCTCTTCCGTCGAAATACGTTAGTTATTCGCAACTAAAGTCCTTAGAACATCGTCATCAAGCTCAGAAGGCCGTCCACTGCGAGGTTGATCTTCGAGGTTAAAATCTCCAGAACGAAATTTCGCGAGCTATTTCTTTACTGTGCGGCGTGCTGGAGCACAGTCCAAATAAACTTCGCTAATATCTTTAGTTGCAGCGCCTACTGTTTTTCCTTTGCGGAATTCGTATAACATAATATAATAGGACGCATATGATCTTTTTCGTTGTCCATCTTCCATGCGTCTTTTCACTAAGCAACTCAAATCAAAATGAAGTTATTTCATGCTTGATTTACAGTTCGGACTGTTACCTTTCCAACGATATATAATATGTATACATATATTTCTTTCACGAGCGCCACTCTCAAACGATTCGAACGGCATCCAGCGGAATCGGGCACGAACTTATGCACTCATCCAATATTATATTTCAGCCCGTTGCTCTTACCATCTGTTAAAAATCTTTAATCGTTGAATTTCTTTATTAAAATCTGTCTTTTCAACTGTTTACCGGCCAATAAAATTGGTTTTAGTTCGCAAACTGTTGTTGGCAGTGAAAATATTAGCAAACGAATAAAATTAATGACAGCGAGTAGTATTAAGGGCCGGTTAGGCACAGCGAAATCGGCTTAAGGTGTCGTTAGTCACTTAAGGTCACATTAGACATACACAAACGCTAAATAGACATATTTGTGTTTAAAATTATTGGAAAGCGTATCGAGAGCGTGTAAGACGAAAGAAAAAATAAATAAAAATAAAAAAAAATATAACAAAAACTCAAACCAAAAGCGAACCGCAGCAAATTTCAATGTAAATTTTATATTTTCTATAGGAAGTCATTTATTTTCATAGCGAAATTGCTTTTCAATAGACAACTACAAAGTATTTTTGCCACTCATATGCACTCATAAGCCAAATATCTAAGCGCACAAACGTCTTTTTATTGAAATTTTTTCTTTTCTTTTGTAGTTTTTTGTATTTTTAGCGACCAAAAGTGGGTTGCATTGAATTGCCAAAAAGCCTGAAAGTGAAAAGAAAACCAAACAACTGTTAGAAATACCAGCATATGAGCAGCAAGCTCAGAAATATGTACGTATGTACGCGTGTGTAAGTGAAAAAAAAAAAAAAAAAAAAAAATTTAGACAAAAATCAAAAATAGAAAATGAAAAATATGTAGAGCAAAAAGTGCGTCCACGCATTGTGCATTTTATTGTATTTAGTGTGCCACAGGCGTCTATGAGGCAGAGAAAATAAACTTATGAATATATTTATATAGGTATTTTTTTTTTTTTGGTAGAAATGGCATTTTGTTGCTATGGTTGTTGCTGGCGTTGGCGGCGGAAGGTGTTGTCAGTCAGTTGCATGTACGCCCCAGCCAGCCCGCCAGCCAACCAGCCATCCATCCAGCTGTTCGTCAACTTGGTCGTGCCATTTAAGGGTCGACAGCTGCCAACGAGGCACACACATACACACACCACCATAAATAAATAAAATATATATTTATATTTTTTATATTTGAAAATTGCTTGCTGGGAAGGTGTGTTGGCTTATGAAAAAGCAGCTACACGAAATTTTTGTGAATTTCCAAGCACTTGCCGCCACATTAAAAATTCACTTTCAAAATATTTGAAAATGCTAAATTAATAACAGCCAACACCTGTCTCTAGAAGCTGGCGCAACTAATGCAAAAAAAAGAAGAACTAATAATAATTATTAAAAATGTGAAATTCGCCATATATGAAAAAAAGTAGTTTTATGTTAATTTTTAGTTGAAAGGCCGAACAAATTTCTTTTGTCAAGCTGCAGAGTGTTAGCTGTGGCTTCACATCCGGCAGCGCTTTTGATTTTGCTCAAGAGCAACTCTTCAAAAAATTAAAACCTTTAATTTTTAATTTAACGTACACCTTTCACCTCTTGTATGGTCGTATGTTAAAAAAAAATGGTAGAAATTTGTATAATGCAGATTTATAATGATGACAGACGGCATTATTTAATGCGCATTAACTCGAAAATTTTCTTATTTCAAATGCAGCAGTTAATTTAACGAATATTTCCTGCTTTTGTCTCGTTTACCACCTTCGATTTCCAGGCTAGCTACTGTTTTGTGTGCTGCACGTGCTACAATAAGAAGAAAAATGCACTTAATTTTTGAAATTAAATTTTTTTATTATAAAATATTATTTTTAATTTTTAATTTATCTAAATTTAATTTCTCATTGACAATGTGCTTTCATAATTTTGATGCTCTCTTTATCTGTCTTTTTTTAGCTTTTTTCATTTTAAATCTTTTTTTATGCCAACATTAATGGTTTCACCTAACAAATTATTACATTACAGCAAACAACCCACACACCTACGGCTATTGTTAGTAAAGTGAATTTTTATTAGTTATGAATAAATTATTTAATGATTTTTTCCTTTATAATTTATTATGCCCATCCGTCGCTCAAAGAGTTAATACTCGTAAATTTTATTGGTGAGTTGGTTTTAATCAATACATTTTTGTTTATAACTTAATTTGCTGCATTTTATGGCGGTTGATCTTACAGACAAAAGGCATACAAATTTTGGACAAAATTTATTATATGGGAAATTTACATTTCATGTATGTGCGGTTTTGAGTTGTTTGATGGATAGTGATTGAATATCATAAACTTGAATTGTATTCAAATCATTTTCGATATTCAGTGTGTGGGTCAATATAAATT